GCTAAATATGATCCCACATATTTGGGCGGAGCAGCGGTGCGTTATCACATCGTAATGGATTTAGAATGAGATAAAAGACGAAAAGTACACTGCAAAGTCATTCAGAAGATTATTATTACAGCGTTTTGAAAGCGGTGGGTGCACAGAGAATCGTTTTCGCGATGAGCTCATATAAGAAAAGTAAACTGAAAGAGATAGCGCATGATGGCGGTCCCATAAAACTATCGTTTATTGGGCAAAAAACCCATAAGTATCAAGCAAAGGGCAGTCCCAACTGCATGCGTCGAGTTGTTGAATCCGATCGAGCATTCACGGTCGTCACGAATAAAAGCAGTTGGAGCATTTTGGAGAACTCACAAGTCTGACTCTTGTTTACAGTAGTAGTTTTGGACCCTCTCCCTTCCTCCGATACCTCCCCCCCCGCAGCCCAAAACTATCTGTTACTCAGGCCAGCTGTAATAGAAATTCAATGAATAAAACCTTAAGAATCCTCTAGCGCAGACCGCCTAAGTTCTCAACTTCTTCGTTTTCATTATAATTTCCTTAGCATGAATTATCCTAATGGACAGAGATAAGTGCGCTGCTTGACACTCGCAAGCGTCTCGGATCGAATCTGACCCAGGCCAACCAAGATTTCCACCTTGCGGGTGTACAAATTACGCTTCTAATCGCCACCTTTTCTCATTAGAAGATCTCCGCAAAACTCCAAAACGGTGATTATCGAATAAATGGTAGAGATTTAGTAACGGGCAGAGTTCGACGCCGATCGGGAACTCTACAGGTGTTCAAATAAACAGCAGAACAGAAAACGTGGTCCAGCACATTGGCACATAAAACGTTTTGTGCGCTTCCAATGATGAAATCTTTATGGACTGTTTTTCGACTAGGCGGGTAATTTCGAAAGAAGGCCCAATCGATAGAAACTAGATTCTGATACAGGATCATCGATGGATCTAATGTTCCAAAGCCAAGTGACATGGAACTATCATATGATATTAATCCTGCGAAAGTGCAGACCCATACTTAGAAGGATAGTCAGATTTGGTTTATTTAGCATTTTTGGGGTCTATTCCAGTTAGGGGGCATCATGATGCAGTTTTTCCAGAAAGCTAGGGTAACTCCGAGCCAGGGGGAGTGTAGCCAGTCTAGGGGGTGGGGGTGAGGGCAGTCACTTGACATGTGAAAAGCTGGAATGTTCGAGTTCACACTAGTTCGCCGAGAAACTGCATCATGATGCCCCCCCCCTCTGGAATAGACCCAAAATCTTCATTCATATTTTTTTGACCATATGTTAAGTACGTTTGGGTTGCTCCGCACACCCGCTACGTCCTTAGCTTGTCAGACACGGACACCGCGCTGCCTCACCGCGTGGACTACCGACTCCCTTCCAGGGCTTCAAAGCGAGTCAATTACGTATCCGTGAGCTTTCCTGTCACTTTTATGTTAAAAGTATCTCAAAACTTAACAAGTGCCCGCCCCCCCCCACCCCGACACATACCCGCGGCGCCACCACCCACCCCGAACGACGGGAACCGCCGCGGCAGCTCCAGGCAGGCGCCCCGGGAAACTGATTTTTAGAGTGCCGACACAGTCCCTTGCGCGCCACAATGCAGAGTCTCCGCCCCGGGTCCCCAACATGAAGTCAACCGTCGCGTTGCGCAGTTTCTCAAACGGCCACGTTTGCGCCAGTTTCTTCGCGCCCGATTCGGACAGCGTTCTCCTCTCGCGGCGTGAACATTCACACTCACTAGGGCTCCGCCATTACAGCGTCCTATAAGATCTCTCACGTGCCATTGAAGTAGCTTGCGCAAACGCACGGTTTGAAATTCTGTCGCAACTCGTAAATCGTAGGCATATTTCGCGTCAGGCGTTTATAAGAAATACAATTTCACGCGCTACGCATCGCACACCGCACGTCGCTGCGTCCTCTTACCGCCGACTTGCTTCTTGCCTACACGGAGACGGGGCCTGCCCGTGTCGTACTCAGATTTTCAGCTATTGAGATCGAGTGCCTAAAGTTTCTGTGACAGTTGTCTAGAGCGAGCCATTCTACTTGGAATGGAATAAGTACATCACTGGTGATAATGCTACGGCCGCCCATGATTTATACAAGACTCGCACTTCAAAAAGTTCCCGCAACTCCCTGAAATTCAAGACTTGATCGACAATTCTTTCAAGGATCCTGCAGGGGATGGAAATGCGGGGAGTTGATCGTCCTTCTCTTACCAGTCTGGATGAGAGGAGCAACCATAAGAAAAGAATCGAATTCAGCGGATTTTCTTGAAACCCATAGATCAGCTCACTAATACTTGTAACTGCCCTCAAAGCCACGAGTCAGGATTAAGTGCGAAGAAGTAGTCCCTCCTAGAGTGGAAAAAGAAGCCCCCAAGCGCAGGCGTGACATTGTTGCGACTTAAAAGCTGGAAGCAACGGCCTTGCCTCTTGTGCTGCCATGCTGCCATACTTATCATCGCGGCATCTGCACCCTCTCGCGTACGACGTGCTCTCTCGCGTTTTCCCTCTCCTCGCTGTGCCGATCTCAAGAGGGGGATTTTGGTGATTTCTATGGCGCTTTTTGCTTTCTCCTCCCATTCGTTCCTCACTGCCTTCGTGCCTAATTTTTGAACAAAATAATACACTGATTCGATCCCATCCCATGCCTTTAGACCACTCCGATCACAAAGTTAGCGTTACCCCAACCAAGAAGGCTGCAAATATTTCGACAAAGCGTATCAAAGCAGTTAAAACAGCGAAGATTTATGAAACGCTCCTCTGTTACTTTAGTATTACATACGACATTTCTTCAACCTCATGAGAACTAAAAAAATAATTCACTTCGGAATTACCTTCCACACATCAAACTTTGGTTCAGAGTAACATTTATTCCTAATACTTATTAATCCTTCACAAACACTTGTGTCGTAAGAAAGATGTTAGCTGGTAATCCACATGCAGAACAGAAGACAGAAGAAAATGGTCAGCACTGAAAATATAATATTTAGCTTCGTTAATATGAATTTAGATCTATTTTTACGGTACAATATAAACACAACGTGACAAAAATAATAGGTCATCCTTATTTTGCCTTCCCGGAACAAGCAGGCAACTAGATTTTCTTGTACAGGGTAGTCACAAATAACCGTAACCAGAGCGTACACGCATAAAAATGTAAAATTGAACGGGCGGAGTTTCGAATGTGACGAGTAAGACGAAGTAGGCCACGGAGATTTCTTAATGTCACACAGGGCCGCAGTTACTGTTCTTATGTTGGATCCTCTCTTCGCACTTTTCGCATTTCTTCCAACTTAAAGGCAGCGGTTACGCTAGGTTCGAATGGGGTTCAGAGGGGACGAGGGGGTCCTCAATGGTACGTCAGTGGCGAAAGAAGCAGCGAAATCGGTCGAGAAATGGGACCCCCTTTTGGGCCGTTGATTGCGGCTCTCAGATGGAGTGCGGCGAAGACCGCGCACGCGTGGACGAGATTACGCAACGCGTGCTGGCACAGGACAAACACAAACAGCAGGCATGGCGCCCTAACCGCGCCGCGGCTGGCAACGCAGCTCGCCCAAGCCACCGGTGAATCAGTGGGCGTCACGTCACTGGGCGGAGGCGTCACGCGGGTCCTGCTCAGCAACCACAGCACCTTTCGCCGTGGGAGGACCACACATCGCTTCCTTGGCAGCCAAGTAATTGCTCCGTGTGGCGCAGGTTCTCCCCCGATGCGAAAATTCCTTATCGTAATCGCTTCCTTTAACGTATATGCAAGTGCTGCCTATCCATTATTCATCGCACATTACAATCCGACTGGAAAACAAATCGTTTTCAATGGATCAAAGAAGATCAGCATGGTCAGACGGCTCTTGGAACCACGATTTTTGCATCACCCCCTTATCGCCTTTTACCAACCTTTTTGACCTACTCCATGTGAAAAACCGCCAATTGGTTACGCTTAATTTGGTACGGCTTCCGATTCTAAGCACAATCGGTTCAGTCGAACCTTTCAGCGAATTTTCACCAGCGTTAGATATCCAACGACCACGACTCCATCCACCCCCGGAACAACTTCCACAGCTGACGTTCTTGCATGTCCGAATTTTCACGTCTACCCTTCTGGGCCCTCGGGCTTTTCTGTGAGTCATCAAACTGCTGGTATAGAGTAACAATTTTAGCACATATTGGTAATAATTGGTGAGGAAGTTTAATAATATATTTTTGGTACAGCGAAGTCAAGCAGAGATACCTATACCTGTAAGCGTCCACGCCGTCGAACACGAGACTGGAAGGCCAGGATCGACTTTGCACCACTGAAATTAGCATCCTCGGACTAACGGGTAAGTAAAGGATTCAAGAAAATAATAAAGCTATTGCTACACTGGAAATTGGGTCGATGGTTGCCGACCGTAAGGATTAGCGCCCTAACCGCGCAATTTTTGCGACGAAGCTGGAGTGATCTAGGTAGGTACAGGACCTTACAATTTCCCTCGTGGTATCCCTTCCTACTAGTCGGGCTAATCCCGGGGTTTGCCTTTAAGAGACAAGAAGGGATGTGAGAAATGATGTGAATCGCGGAGAGGGTAAAGAAGTCCGAGTAGTCGCATAGCTGTGTGATCAACACTGTAATGCAAATAAAACAATGGTCGGGCCTTGATTCTCTTTGGTGGGATTTCATCGAAATCCTCAGCGCCTGGCGTCTTTAGTGACGCGTTCCCATCTACGAAGGTGGTGCGACCTCTGCAGAGGCGGAGTACACACCTCTATCCGCCGGAGGGACTACTGCTGACACATAGGGGGGGGGTCTTGCTTTCGATTTCCTTCTTTCGTCGTAGTTCTTTCGCCTGTCACGTGGCTGCTATGACTTCACACTCTTCAAATTTTGGCATAAGCTGCGGGTTTTACACAAAACTTCGTGCCGCTCTTCCACCTCCAATTCAAGCTTACCATTTTGCTAAAGTTCTGCCCGTTCCATGCTAGCAAAACTAGGTTGGCGGATAGAAGCCCCCGGATAGTAGCGCAAGAAGGGTGGAGGAACAAGTAATGCTGCTGGGCATACCCAAACTTGGCGAAATGACAAGCAAAGCGTTCAGATTATATTAACACGTTGACGACGAGCGATTTTTTCCTTGTCGCGCGCATGGGACGAGACGTTTTTCGCATGCAAAGCGCCGGTAACACAGGGCAAAACCTATTTTGTAGCTCTGTAAAATCTCGAAATGCACAAAATGCCTTTGACTAGAGTACTCCAGACACGTTTAGAAACAAGGAAAAGTTGTTACTACTGAATGCTGGGTGAAATTTCAGTGACATCGCCTGGCATTTTCAAACCTCAGGTTAGAATAGGTTCTGAAGGCGCAATTTCACGCATTCTTTTTATTATTAATATGAGCTTTCCTTTAGATGGTACTGGTATCCTGATCACATCTGAAATCTTCTACGAATTTTTCTCAAAAGAATGACAAAAAAAACTTTGCGTACCTGACGGAATGAGCTTTTGTTTGACTGTTATCTTGTTCTTCATGATCGAATAAGTGATTTAAACGAGTCATTTCAAGGTCAAAAAACTTGTTTGTGAAATATTTGGCAGTTGATGGACTGGATAGGTACTTTTGTCCTGCCTATGAGTAAGACTGAGCCTACTTGACCATCATGGGAACCTAAGGCTAGAAATGGACATTCTACTGACGGTGACCTAATTAGTAAAGGTCGATATGAACAATTTTAGTGAGATTTCCAGTTTGCTGACGGTGGGAACTTTGTGGTTGTGATTCAATTGACAGCGCGTTTCTGCCACTGATAACTAATTCAGAATAAAACTCCCAGGAATTAGAAAGATCATAATTCGCAGACAAGTGTAGTAAGTTAGGACACTGAAGTAAACGTTGAAATAGAAAAGTCGCGGGTTCCATCTAAGTTTGCTTACTTTCAAGCTGTCGGTCACCATTGACCGACATCGTCCCATGTGACAGACTGCCTGTCGGTCAGCATTGACCGACATCGTCGCCAACGTGTTAAGGTAATGAGTCAACCCCCTGTCTCAGGGCAACGATGACCCAAGGCGGCTTTGGAAGCTCATTTGTTTATTCGGGGAACCGTAACCAAACTTTTTCAGAAAATCAGATTTTTGAGGTTACTGTGAAGTCCTCAAAATCGCATTCAGTAGCAGATTTCATCATTTTTTAGAACGAATGTTGTAAATCTGAGCCCGAGAAGGCATAAAATGGAATTTGCACCCGTAGGAGCTACGTAGTACGAGAGGTTATTCACATTTCAAAAATATGGGTTGCTGCAATTACTAAGAACTCCTGAAAACCGAACTTCAATAAGACAAGTAAGAACTCTTATTAACCTCACTCATCGGTAGATCCGGTTTTGTCCGATTTGCGAACGCTCCAAAGATATCCAGGCTGCAGTATTGTCGTCCTTTGCAAGGGTCAATTAAGTGAGTGATATTATAAAGTGTGAAGTTGACTTCGTTTTGATGATATTTCATCTAAAAAAACACCATTGAGATCGCACGAATGTACGGTCAAGAGCAATATTTAGGGCAAAACGGATTCCAAAACATTCCAAAAGAGGTGCGTGAGTTGTCATCGGAACTTTAATAAAGCTTTTGTTTTAAGTTCACCGACCATGAAGTATGGCTGGCCATCGCTGCGATTCCTCCATAACTCGATTAACACTGCTGCTGAGTATTCTGGATATCCGGATGAGCTGATCACTTTGTTTTGGATACCCATTGCGGAGAAGAATGCTACCAGTGTAGTGTCATGCTGAATATCTCGCTTGGGCAACGTTCACAGTTGGCGATCCTACATGCGCTAGGCGATAGGGCGATTAGGATATGGACAGAGATACGTATTGAAAGGGGATCAAGAGATCGCTTGATGGGCATAGCGAAGAAATCGGTACGTGTCCTTTTCTTATCGCCTACTCGCATACTCTTCCATCACTCGTCTTGTCGCCTAATCGGCACGTGCGCTTTCATTTTGAATTACCGCATAGTCGCCTGATCGCCTAATCGCATGTACGACCGCCAACTCTGGACCCATTGAGCTCATTGGATTGTTATAGTTATTAAGTACTCGGCTAATCAATTCATCAAATCAGTGAGATTAAAGGAATCTTCCACGGACCATGGACCAGTGGGCGGGACCGGAAGTGGTTTTGCGACGAAATGCATGGTAGGTACGGATCCACGTTCATGGGAAGGTTTGAAGTGAATCCTGTTCACGTTCGTGCGTTCGACACGTGGATCCGTACCTACCATGCATTTCGTCACAAAAACTTCCGGTCCCGCCCACTGGTCCATGGTCCGTGGAAGATTCCTTTAAGTATGTAGCGGTGTTACACATAGTAGGTCGTCGGAAAAGTCTTTGGCCATTTGTCGATTTTTTTTCTGATCACTTTTCTGCTTTAGCACAGTGAGCAATTTACAAATATATGCCCTACCATGATC